CTTTAGCACTAGCTGATGTGTACAAGAACAGTATAGGCAGCCATTGAACAGCACAACATAAGTGAAGGAATAATAATCAGTATTCTAAGAAAATTCCTCCCACTCAAAGTTTATCAATCCATTTTTTATTGTGTGCCAACATGCACTTGTAGTGATTCCAAGGGGTCTGGACACCATTCTGAATTTAGAGTAACCAGTGACCCCTCACCTGCATGAAGCAAAATATTTCATAGTTTCCCTGTGGAGTAGCAGCTATACTGGATTGTATCTGATACTGGTATAGCACTATAGCTAGTGCATGTAATCATTAATATTTTTCTATACATGCATGCAAGAGCATGCATGCAGTATTGTATCTGTGTGTGAACTTGCATCATGAATATGACTGGATATAAGTATTGTATCAAACTAATTTTCATGCTAAAACAACACACATTCATTAGCTGTTATTTGATGTATAGTTCAAAGATATCCAATGGAGTATGATGAGTCGCTCCTGTTCTACTACTGCAGACTCTCAGCTCAATATCATCAGTGGTTTGTGTATCCAGTGAACGATAGAACCAAGGCATCTTAGAGTTAGCTGGACAGCAGGTAGATTCCTGATCATCACATTGCTGTCCATCCCATAATGGATCAGTAGCAAAGAGAACAGAGAAACCTACACCAGCATCTGCTCCAGACTCACAATAATAATGAGACCCAACGAATGTAGCATTAAGATCTAAACCACCACTGTACCCAGTGCTACATGGACAGGCTTGAGTATCAGTTCTAGCCTCACTGTAGCTTCCTACATATGCCCAGATATGTTTACGAGGATTGCTTCCATGAGTAATGGATACACCATCAATAGTAAAATTTTCAATATCATTTTGAAAATTAAGAAAAGCCCGGGCTCTAAAAGATTGATATCCTCTAACTTGTCCACAGACTTTATTGTATGTTAGTCCGTTAGTTGAGAAAGTAGTTGAAATACAGGTAGAACTGTTAGCTAGTCTACCACACAGTAGGTGATCAATGTTAGTGTAGTTCTTTTGTATTAGTCCAGCAGGACAGGTAGCACCAGACTCAGTCATGTTAAAATATCCTACTCTAGTCCAACCACCTTCTCCATCACAATTGATACCATTCATATCACAGTATACCTGTACAGTATATCAATGATGAATGAATCATAGCAAGTTATACTAACCTCTACTGGGGTCACTCCATCAGGATATATATTGTAGTTACCATTGACAGTGCTATTCAAGTCCTTGCAACTTCTTACTAATGTTATTAATAAAATTTTTAATAAAACAATTGCTGCATAACTGTGTACCTGATTGACAAGGCTTTGGTAGTACACTTGGACAGAAAATGTATCTATTGATGCCATTCCCTTTGATAATAAAACTCCTTCCCAAGTTATCAATAACACAACAGACTCTTAGATATAATGAGAAGGACCCAGAGGTACCTTGATTAGTACAGTCAGTAGACATACAGTAAGATCCACTGGCTGTACTACTAGCATAAAGAAACAGGGACAACAGTAACATCACCTTCATCTT